TCCTGGGTTACTGCCCCAGTTCCACCCCGCTTCCCACCTCTGCTTTGGAGACCAGGACTCGGGTTCTTCTACCACCCCGCTCTGCCCTGTGGGCACATCTCTAAGGTGTCCTGAAACCACCTGGCCTTGCTTACTTGGCCTTGAGGGCATTGATGATGGAGTGCCTCTCATTCAGGGCTTCCTGAAGCTGCCCCACGTGCACTGCCGATGCCCTGTGTGCAGAGGAAGGTCCAGGGAGACTGAAACCCCAGAACCCTCCTGGACCCTCTCAGCGTGTATGGCACCTACCACTGACCCCTCCGACCGCCTCTTCGGGAGGTACAGGCTACAGGTGCATCTGTGGGCAGGTGACTGGACCTGCACCCCAGGCGCCTCAGCGGAGCCACAGCCTGCGCCCACAGCCCAGGCCCCCCATGACCCGCCCCACGCCCTCCCCACGGCCCCCACGGCCCCCACGGCCTACCCCCGCCCGGCTGGCCCACCTGCTGCTCCTTGCCATCTCTTCCCGCTGCCTATCGATGGTCTCCATCAAGTCCAGGAACTGGGGACAGAGCCAGGTCAGGGGATCAGGGTCAGCCTGCCCACTCTGCCTTCCCCAGGGGAAGGAGGGCAGACACCCAAGACAGCCTCACTGTCTCGCTCAGAGGGAGGCCTGGGGGCTCAGACACCAGCTCTCCGAGAAACCCACCCACGGAGGTCAAGCCAGGAGGCTGCCTCTCCTTCCTGAGTCTGGGCCGCTGGGAGCGGCTCCGGGGCCCAGAGGAAGGTAAGACAGTGCACCATGGGGCTGAGGGAGGGCACAGGCCCTAGCTGGCAGCAACCCTGAGGTCAGTGAAGACACCGGCCTCACCTGCTTGGACTTCTCCTCCCGGAGGTGCTGGACCTCCTTGCTGAGGATGTGGGTGCGGGCCTGGCTCTCTCGGAAGGTGGTGTGCCGGTCCTGGTTATGGTCCACGGCCTGCTCTGTTGGGAGAGCCGTGTTACCTGCTGGGGGCTGCTCAGCACCAGCCGGGCCCTGCAGCTGGAAGCTAGCGGCCCGGGGACCAACGCCGACAGGCACGCATCTCGCCCGCTGAAGCAGGCGCATTCCTCAGCACACTCGGGTGGATGGCTTCGGTGGGGTGGGGGCTTGGTGCAGGGACACGTGCATGCGTCAAGGAAAGGCAGGTGGGCTGTCCTGGGACATTTGGCCTCCCTCCCAAAGGTCAAGGGGCACTGCCCAACTTTAAGGGTAGTTGCGCTCAACCCGTGTCCTGGAAAGATCCAGGCAGCATGTGGAGACCGGCCAGAGACAGCTGGAGCTGTGCCAGTCCGAAGCAACCTCGACAGGAAGGGCAGTGCGGAGGCTGGGAGGGGGACAGTGAGAAGTTGGAGATGACAGAGGGGCCGGGCAGAGCTGGCAGGAGGTGATGACCCCTCCGTGTGGTAGAGCGCTCTGCTGGGCTGGGGCACTTGGGGCCCGAGGCTGAGGTGTCGGCTGCAGACTCTCCACAGCCTGAGGGGTCGCTGCTGGGAGGGAATGGGAGGCGCAGCTTGGGCAGCAGCAGTGCAGGCCGGGCACTCTGCTCCTGTGCATGGCCACAAACTCAGCACCGACTGGGGGCAAATGCCAAGCCCCCCCTGGCTGTGCCTAGGCCACCCGAGGTATCAGCACAGCCGTCAGGCAAGAGCTCTGAGCCACACGGCCTCATCTCCCCCATCTGTGAGACAGGTTACATGGGAACCACGGGAGCACACGTGAGGAGCCTCAGAGGTGCCTGCCCAGGGAGCGCCAAGCAAGTGCACTGTGGTTGCCTCTGTGACTTCTTCCCTATTCCTCTCAGTCCTAATTTAGGCTGAGCTTCCGGGGTCCCAAGCTGCCCCCTCGCTCTGTAGATGGGCTCCGTCAAAGGGCTCACACCTTACTCCGCACACCCGTACCCACGGCCCTGAGGATGTCTCCAGGGACGTTGTTCCCAACCAGGTCCAGCCTCCACAGGGTTCTGTTGCTCGGGAGACAGTTCACCAGGGCCCGGCCGCCCAGGAGGCCGATGTTATTCCAGCGCAGGTCTAGAAAGAAACCTGTTGTCACCACACGGAACGTGCCTGGCAGAGGGGGAGCTGGCCCAGCCTAGGGTGCTCCCTTTCAGGGTCCCGCGTGTGGCCGTCAACACAGTGTGCAGGCTGGCCCTGCCACCCCCCTTCCATTCCAAGGTCAGAAGCTGCAGTGGAGCAGCGGGGGGCACGGAGATCCCCTGGGGAAGCAGGCAGTAGGGGTGGCCTCACCCAGCTGCTGGAGACTGGCGTTGCCCTTCAGGGCCAGGGCCAGCTCCTCTGCGCCCTTGTGGCTGATCTGGTTGTTGCGGAGGTCCAGCTGCTGCAGGGCGCCGTTAGCCGCCAGGCCCCCACAGAAGGTGGCGAAGGCGTCTTCGCACGCACCCAGGTGGTTCCACTCCAGAGTGAGGCTGCAGGAAGGCAGGCGTGAGGTGCTCACCCAGAGGCGTGCCCTGCCCAACGGGGTCCAGGGCTTCGGGAGGGGTGTGGGTTTGGGGGTCTCTGGCAGAGGCCGGAGCTTCATCACTTATACCCGCAAGCTCCCTGCCAGTGGACCTGAAATGTGGACAACTGACCAGAGGAGTGAACTCTCGGGTCGCAGGACTGTGTCCTTTGGGGCCAACCCCGAACCACACAGAGAGGCGGCTGCGGGCCGGGACCGCCACCCTACCTCTGAATGGACTTGTTCTGTCGGAGGAGTTTTCCCAGCGCCTCGGCCCCTGCGGCTTGAAGGTTATTACCCTAGGACAGGAACAGGCCAGCTGGTCACTCTTGTCATCCTGGCTGGGCTCTGAATGCCACATCCATGCCCCACAGGGCCTTGGCCAGGCAGTGGACAAGGGCAAGGGGGAGCTCTGGGTGAAGGTGCAGCTCCTTTCGGGTCCTGGTTTCTCTGACTTTAGTGAGCTTCCTGGGGCCAGCTCACTCAGCTTAGGTGAATGCTTTACCCTCGAAACGCTCACACGTGTACGAGACAGTCAGAAAACTGCCTGGGAACCCCGTGTGCCGAGAGCACTCACAGTTTCCAGCCCCTCGGTCCCTGGGACCCGGTGTCTCCCTGCTCCATTCTTGCTCTTGGGTGGCACAGCCCTGAGTGTAGATGTGCTCACCTTTAGGTCCAGAAGCCGCACCACAGTGTTGGTGCACAGCCCTTGGAACAGCAGTGTGGCCCCTGTGTAGGGGGGAAAGGTGGTCACTCCCTGCCCCTGCTGCCCCCAATCCCCTCCCAGGGCCTAGAGGAAGGGAAAATGGGTGCTCCATCTCAGGTAAGCTCCCCAGACTCAGAGGAGGGACAACTGTCCTGGTGGTCCTACTGATCTGGGTTCATGCTGGAATGAGTCTCCCCATTTAATGCTGTGAAGTTACGTTTGAAGCATCTGTGGCCCTTGCCAGGCAACGAGCAGGGTGCTGAACCCACACTTTGGCCAGCACACAGGAACCTCAAGGCTTCCCCTGTTATAAAGAAAACTGTCCTCCACTCTCAGGCTAAAGGAAGGGACCTGTTGCTCACTTCGTGGTACAGAAAGAGGGGACCCCTGGAGGAGGAGATCCAGCTGCCTGCGGCTGCGGCCTCATGGGCCTGCCCACCTTCCTCGCTCAGCATGCAGTCGCTCAGGACCAGCTCCCTCAGCAGGGCCTCCGTCTGCAGCAGCTTGCCCAGGGCCCTGCAGGTGTCCACTGTCAGGCTCTGCGTGGCCAGGTCCAGCCGGCCCCTCGGAAGCTGGTGCAGTTGCTGCAGGACGGCCTCCTGCGGCTCGGCCCCGCTCTCCTTGCACAGACGGCTGTAGGAGCGCAGGAATTCCTCCATGTCCCCGAGTGTGGGTAGGACCGTCCCCGCATGCCCCTAGAGCTGGGCCTCAGCGTGTGGGGGCCGGGCGCGGGGCCACCCGCCCCAGGCCCCTCTCCCCGCCGTCCCGGGGCTGCACGCCTCCCTGAGGGCCTGTGCGGAGCCGCGCGCCGGGGCAGCCGCTAGGAAGGGGGTCCCTCCGTATGGGGCTATCCTCGGCAGCCGGGATGAGGAGCAGCCCGACTGCTTCCAGGGCGGGCGTCCCCGGGCACCGAGGCTGTGGAGGCCCCGGCGGGACGTCAAGGGCCGGTCGACGCAGGCTAGGGGTAGACTGGGCGGCGCAGTCGGGGCCACCGGCGGGTGCGTGGGCCCCCGGCCCGGGGAGCAGGCAGGCGCGTCCACGTGCCGCGGCCCACCGGGCCCCAGCCCTCGTGCCGCCGCCCCTCCCCGCTCGCCAGCCGCCGCCGCGCCTCGGTATCCAGGAAGAGTGGGGCGCTCCGGGAGGGGCCGCGGGACTACGACTTCCGGGAGGCTTTGCGCAGCCGGCGCTCGCCGCGAGCCAATAAGGACAAAGGAGCGGGCACGCGCTGCGGGCTGCAAACAGTGGAGCAGAGGCAGCGCGTTCCGGATCATTGGCTGGGGTTTCGGAGGCGGGGCTCCGGGGGCCGCGCTGAGGATCATTGGGTGGGGTTCTGGGGGCGGAACTCCCTAGGCCGCTCTCTGGCCTCACTGGCAGGGGTCCGGGGCGTTGCTCTGGAGGGCGCGCTCCGGTGATCGGCTGGGGGTCCGGGGCGGGGCTCCCGAGGGTACCCTTGGGCTCATTGGCTGGTGGCGTGAGGCGGGGCTCCCGAGGGCGCGCGCTCCAGGCTCATTGGCTGGTGGGGCGGGGCTCCCGAGGCACCCTTCAGCTCATTGGCGGGGGGGTACGGGGACGGAGCTTCCGAGGAAGCGCTCCGGTCTCATTGGCTGGCGGCGCACGGATCCGGAGAGCGCGCTCCGAGCTCATTGGCTGGAGGTGTGGGGCGGGGTTCCCGATGGCGCGCTCCGGGTTCATTGGCTGGCGGTGCGCGGCTCCCGAGGCACCCTTCAGCTTATTGGTGGGGGGCCCAGAGGCGGGGCTCCCGAGGGAGCGCTCCAGGCTCATTGGCTGGCGGCACGGGGCGGGCTCCGGGGGCGCGCAGGCGGCGGTCATGGAGGGCGCCGGCGCGGGCTTTCGGAAGGTGAGGGCCGGCGGGCAGGGGCGAGGCCGGCGCGGACTCTGCGGCCTGGCCCCCATGTGCCACCGCGCTGCCCACCTGCGCCCCGCGCGCTTGGTGGTCCGGGTGGGCGGCCCGCGCTGCGGTGAGGAGGGAGGTCTGCAGACCCGCCAGGGAGGGCGCCGCCGAGGGGAGTGGGGCCGTTGCCCGCCCCTCCCGGGGGTCTCCTCCCCAGGGAAGGTGCGATTCGGCAGGACCTGCCCAAACCGCCCTGTCAGGCCTTCCCTTCTGCCTGCGTCCGCGTGGCCAGGTCCCGCCTGCATGCCGTGGGCTTCTGAGCGCTTCCTTGGCGGCACACCTGGCACAGATTAACCCCGCCTGTCTATGGGGAAACCGAGGCACGGAGAAGTTAGGGGACTGAGCAGGGCTGGGCGCAGACCCAGGCCGTCTGACCCAGGTTCTGGGCTTCCCTGCGCCTGGGAACGCAGCTCGCTCACGGGGGCACCCTGCGCAGGGGACCCTGGGCAGGCAGAGTGGTTTGAGACCCTTCCCTGCTCTGCCCGGGGCTGAGAGGCGCTGAGCTTCCTTGAGGTGCGTCAGGAGGGCTCGTGGGCCTTTGTGGCTGGGGAGGGGGGGGGCCTGGCCCCCTGTGCCCCGTCCCCCGTGCCCCCGTCCCTGGCGGAGGACTTCATGCTCGGAGAGGCTCTGCAGAGCACGGGGAGCTCTGTTCCACCTGCAGCATCGCTTCGTCGCTCAGCACTAGCGCTCCGCCCTTGCCCAGAAAGGGTTAGTGACCCGACAGGGACAGTCACCTGACAGGGTGGTTGTGAGAACACACCAGGTCACAAATAGTTACAGTAGCCGGTCTGTGACTCTTCCATCAAGCCGACCCCACAGCTACAGCCCCAGGGGGTGGCCAGTCCTTGCCTGAGGGCTCTGGCCACAGCGGGGTGGGGCTGCGGTGGTTGCAGGCGAGGCTTAGCGTGGGGTGACGGCGTGGGGGTACGGGGCCCTGGGGGCCAAGGCTGGGTGCATTCTAGGCTCCTCCTCTTTAGTGCTGGGCCTTCCCTCATCCTGCCTTCCCGAGGTCACTGCCACTGTGTGCAGAACGACTCCGTGTTTGTCCCGACAGCCCCAAGCAGTGGCCTGCTCTCTGGAGTGGCCTTCCTTCCAAGGTCTTCCGGGGCAGCTGCGCTTGGGGTCCAGGAGCAGGTGGGGAGGCAGTGCCTTTTCTGCTGCCTTCCATGGTAAGCAGCAGGAAGGACCAGCAGGTGGCACTGGGCCCGCGTGGTCACTGACAAGGACCCCTGCTGCTGTGGGGGGGCCGTGAAGGGCTTGGGGTGCGCCCTGCCCTGCTGAGCATTCAGGCCCCCCAACCCTGCACCTCAGGGCTTTGTCTGGTGTCCACGCCCCAGCTTTGTTAAACTGCACTGGGTGCCACTGCTCACCCTCCCCTGCACAACACGTTTCTGGACTCTGAGTGCCCCCTGCTGCCCCCCTACCCCTGTTGCTCTGTGCTGGCTCCTGTCCCAGCCACTTCCAGTGGGACCCTGCCCGTGGCACCTCACTCGGCCTCACAGCTTCACAAAGGGCCCAGAGTCCCAGCTTGGGCTCCAGCAACCCACCTGCCACGCCACGGGGACAGCTCACACACTCTCCTGGTATGTGCCCCCATCTCCGCAAAGTGGCACCATCCCCTCAGGGTCTCAAGCCACAGCAGAGTCTGGGCTTGGACACCCCCTTGTCCCCATTCCCTGTTGGGGGGCCACAGACAGGCCTAGTCCACCACCTCCGTGCCCCCTCTCGAGACCTCAGCAGCCAAAGAGGTCCTTCCAAAGGCCAGTGCTGCTCTTCCACTCCAAACCCAGAAAGAACACTGGATTTCCTGCCAAGGGAGGCTGAACAGGCCTCAGGCCCTGTGCCTGGCCTGTCCACACCGCACTCCACTCCAGCCTCACCGACTTCCTTCTTGGCCTTGGACAAGCTCTGCGCTTCCTTCGGGCACCAGATGTCGGCTCCAGGGTGGGGTTGACCCAGCACCTAGGACTGGGTCTGGCACCGGACAGCTGTATTGGTGGCAGCTCCGAGTCTGGCCCACCTGGGGAGCAGCTACACTCAAACCCCCAGAACCTCCTGGCAGGGATGGCAGGGATGGCAGGGAGTGTGAGATTGTGCTGGGCTCCCTCCTCTTTCCTTCGCCCCTGGAGCCCCAAGGGGTGGCTTTCACTCCCGCAGTCTCCCACAGGGAGGTTTCTCAGCCACCTTCTTACCAGCCTCTTTAAGCAGATCCGGCCTCTCCCCACATAGCTCCCTCCCCTCTCAGCACCTGCGTCCCCTACCCTGGGAGAGTCCCTAGGGTGGAGTGCATTTCCCGCTGGAAATCACAGCCAGGTCCACAGTGAAGCACCCGAGGGGCGTGCAGGCAGGGAGGGGCAGGGGGCCGGCACTGACCCTCCCTCTCCCCCGCCAGGAGCTGGTGAGCAAACTGCTGCACCTGCACTTCAAGGATGCCAAGACCAAAGGTGCGGGGGCGCCAGGGCCAAGACCTTGGGGAGGGTTCTGGAGCCCTCGCCGGGGCGGTGGGTCCCCCATAACCTGCCCCCCTTGCCTTGCAGTCAGCGGGGACGCACTGCAGCTCATGGTGGAATTGCTGAAGATCTTCGTTGTGGGTGAGCTGAGGGGCCCGTGCTTGTCCAGAGCATTTGCGGTTCCTTTCGTGTTTTTTCAGTGGGAAAACCAAGATGAAGATTCTCCCCCGTTTCCAGCAAGCACCTGAGCTCTGTGTCCCCTGAAAAGCTATATCGGGAGCCACGGCTGCCGCCTCAGGGCTGCCAGCGGGTGCCGGTGGGGAGCCCCCGGCTTCTACCGCTCACTTCCCCTTGTCTTGGCAGAAGCAGCCGTCCGCGGGGTCCGGCAGGCCCAAGCAGAGGACGTCACCCTGGTGGGCGTGGAGCAGCTGGAGAAGGTGCTCCCTCAGCTGGTAGGTGGGTGCAGGTGGGCGCGGTTGGGAGCTGTGCCCGCCGGGCAGCTCTGAGCACTCCTCTCCCCACAGCTCCTGGACTTCTAGGGCTCTGGGCCCTGGCGGAGGCTGCCGCAGGGAAGCAGGCCTGAGAGGCCTGGAGCAGATTCAAACCAGAGTTCCCAGCACATGCTGGAGATCCCCCCACAGCCTCTGCAGAACGGCAGGGCCACTCAAGACACCACCTTCCTGGTGTCCTCTGCCCTCTGCTGCGGGACACGGGATGGCGGAGGGTCTTGAGAGGACAGGCCCGTGGGGACGGCACCTGGGGGCCCTGCCTCTCCTCTCTGGGGAAACTTCGCCTGCTGTGCAGGGTCCCAGGGAGGCAGGCGCTGGGGAAAGGTCAGGACCCCCCCCGCCCAGAGGTGGTGGCGGGTCGCCTGTGTTTGCCGCCTCCTTCCCGCACTCCTGCCACCCAGTGACAAAGCCGGTGTGTGACCTTTCAGCCCCGGGATATTCCCTCAGAAGAGCCTTCCCCGAACTATGAATCTGTTCTTACAAAGCAACATCAATAAATCAAAACCGTCTCTCCCAGGCTGGGCCTTGTTGCCATTAATCACCCAAAGTCGAGTTGCGTTAAACCTCCTGCCCCTGCCCCAGGCTCCCGCCCACCCTGCTAGGACGAAAGCAAAGCTCTCACAGACGGAATAAAAAACAGCATGTGTGTGCCCGGCCCCGCCCTGGGCAGGGCTGTGAAACTGGAGCCGTGGCACATGTGGCCGCCGGCCTGGAAAATGTTACTCCTGCCACAGGGGCCTTCTGTCACAGGAGCTGCCGCCAGCGGGCAGTCGCTCCCACGAATATGGTCGTGGCCCAGTCTCAGGCCACCAGGCCCACCAGCCACGGGCAGGACCAGGGTGCACAGGGTGAGAGGGACCCTGGCCTAAGGCCACACTGGAATGAAAGGCCCCCTCCACCCCAGCCTCAGCGTGAGGAGGGTGCAAGTCAGCCTCTGGCCGTGCCCACTGCCCACCCTTGCAGACAGCTGCTGGGGCCCTCTGGTGGGCCAGCCCCGCTTGTGCCAACTCAAGGGAAGCATACAGGGTCTTGGGCCACCCCTGCCCTGCAGTGCCTGGGGGGTGACTGGAGCCCACCTCTCTTTACCTCCCAAAGCTGCCTGGACCCCGCTTATCCCAAGATAGAAACGCCCAGCTATTTGCCAGCCATCAGAAGACTTAACACCCTGGGGCTGGACAGAGAGGGGGAAGGGGGCACAGAGTCAGGCCCTGGGGCGGAAGGGACAACAGCTGCCCTGGGGACCCAGAGCAGCCTTAGGAGGACCTATGGAGGCTGCCCAGCCCCCGCCATCCAGGCAGCAGCCCTCTGTTCCCAACAGCCTGGCTGGCCCAGGTGGGGCTGGAGTTCAGCAGGTAGAGCTGCCCCAAGGCCTCTCTCCTCCCCTCTGGGCTTCAAAGCTCCCTTGTGGAAGTGATCAGACCTGCCAGGGACACTGTGCTTGGACCGGCCCTGCAGCCACTCCAGGGGCACCAGGAGACTCGGCCCTGTCCTGAGGCTAGGGGTAGCCTAACTTCCCAGCCCCAGGCCTGGGTCGCAGGTCATTTGCCTGGAAGGGCTTTCTCTCCATGGTTTTGCTCTCCTAGGCGGGTAATTATGGTATCAGACAAAAGTAAGGAGGCCACCTCTGCGGCTCAGGGTGGCCACCTGTGTGCCCTTACTACTGAGAACAAGGCCCAGTGAGGGCCACCTGGGCCCACGCCATGGTCCATGGGGCCTGGGAGCTCCAGCCAGCCCTGCCCAAGCAGAGGATGGGGGGAGGGCCTTTCTGGAGAAAGCAGGACAGGAGAGTCTCGAGAGAAGCGCGAGTCTTTATTCCCACTCGAGGTGAGGGGTTGGGGGTCTTTAGGCTGGCAGAGTGGGCTCCTGGGCTGGCAGCTTCACCTCTTGCTGGCTGCAGTGCAAACACCATGATGACCACACGCCTGGCTCCCGCCTCCCGTCCGCCCAGCTGCCCACCGGCCCCGTGGCTCCAGGCACCTGGCAGCTTCAGCCACTTGGGCACCTTGCCCAGGCTCCTCCTAGCAGGTTGGGTTGTGCCTGGGGTGGGCTCTGGGGGGCCCAGCGCCCCCTCCTCAGCAGTCAGCTTGGACTCAAGGGCTGCAGTGTCAGGGGCTGGCAATGGGCGTGGGGACCCAGCGGCCCTGGACATGCACCTGGGGGAGAGAGGCCGAAGCGCAGCATGGGGGCACCACCACTCAGGAGCCCCCAGCCCCACCCATACTTACCTGGCCACCAGCACGTCAGCAGCAGATGGGGACACGGTGTGCTCCAGCAGCCTGGGCTCCAGGTAGAGACCTGAACAGAAGCCAAGCCCGCCCCCAGCCTCAGAGAAGGGGACCCACCCGTCATCCACCCACCAGCTCTGGGAGGGGTGTGGCCAGGTGGGTGGCTGTCCCAGCCCACAGCTGCCAGGGAGGTGGCACTGAGAGCTGCAGGTCTCCCTCCCAGACACGAACATGTTCCCAGAATGAACAGCCTCCAGGCCAGCTTGCTCTGGGCACTGGACAAGCCGGAGGCAGGCTCCAGCGAGGGGCTGGGGTGGTCTCTGCAGAGCCCAGGCCCCACTCACCTGCGGGCTCCTCAGCTCCGAAGTGCACGAGGGCAGCAGGGAAGAGGTTCGCCTGCAGGGGAGGCAGGGGCGTCAGGGGGCCCAGTGGGCACCGTGGGCAGAGCACCCTACTCCCAGGGCGGCAGCCCTGGGGAGCGGCCCATCTGTGCAGCCCCCATGAGTCCCCCCAGCCTCCCCTGCTCCACCCCCACTGCACCCTCAGACCACAGGGACCCTCCACGGACAGCCCCGAGCACCAGCTGGAGAAGGAAGTTCTTGGGCTGTGTGAATTCTAGCGTTTTCGTCACCTCTGCCCGTCCCACCCGAATGCCTGAGGACACAGTCTCATGCCCACCGGGCACTCTAACCCACCAGACCCAGCCATATGGTCAGCGGGTGAACAGAGGACTGGATGGGTGGTGCCTGGGGACAGGGACAGCGGGTGGCAAGGGGCCTCCTCACATCCCTTCACCCAGTGTGGACCAAAGAACCGGGGTTGAAGGGCTGTGGTGATGCACACAGACCCACTGGACACCACGGTGCCGTGGGGGACGCCAAGCTGCCTGGGCGTCCTAGGTGAGAGGTGCTGCGTCCTCCCGTCACCGCTAGGGAAGCTCACGCTCCGGTTCCGAGTCAGCACTCGGGTCTCAACGGGGCAGGGAAGAGCTGTCTGTGGGTCAAGCTCCTCCTGGAAGGGTGGGCGCTGCATGCAGGCTCCCCACACCCAGCCTGGGGGTCCTCACTGGGCCTCCCCTGATCCCCACCTGCCCAAAGGGGTACAGGGCTTCTGCTCAGGGACTGGCCCCACTTTCATGGCATCAGTGGGATTAGGACATGTCACTTGCACCCCAACACGCCCCAGGAGCGGCGCTGGATGTGGTGTCATTTCAGGGCTGTAGGCCGAGGCCCTGGCAGCCCCCCACTCACCAGCCTCCACACCTGAGAGAGGTGGGGGGCTAGGCAGGTGGGGCCTGGCTGTGTCCAGAAACCGGCCGCTGGCCTAAGGCAGCAGCAGGTGCCGGCCGCCTTCGAGGAGGAGCTGCAGCTGCCGGCATTCTTTCCGTGCCGGCTCCAGGGCCGCAGGCTTGCCGGAGCGGGGTGGGCTCGGGGGGTGTTGAAAGATTAATAAGAGGAAGCTTCAAAGGCCGGCAGGCCTAGGAACGCAGAGACCTCCGCATCCAGCCAGCAGCCAAAGACACAAACAGGGGCCATGAATGCTTTGAAAACCCAATTGTGACGCCTGGGATCAAAGCCCTGTGGGAAGAGGAGGCCTGTGGGGTGTGCAGGGGCTGCCCTAGCGCTCCTTGAGAGGCGCCGGAAGCTGGGGAGCCAGGACAGGGACACGGGGGTAGGGGGCGGTGCCGGAACCTTCCTCAGCCAGACCCTGTGCAGTCTCAGCCACCCTTACAGTACAAGAGCGCCGAGTTCCGTCTCAGGGAACCTGGCCGGGACTCACATGGGGACGCAGCCTGACTCTCTGGCACTTCTCTGAAGCCGTGGGCACCGCCTGGAGGCCACTGCTGGGCGAGAGACCTGGCCGGCTCCCGCCTGCACCCACGCACCCCGGCCGGGGCTCCCTCTCAGAAGCCACTAGAGCAGCACTGCAGCTCATCATGACACCCCAGGCCAGGCCCTCCCGGGCAGTGCAGAGGGGACAGGCAGGATGCCAGGAGGGGCACCTGGGTGGACGGAGCTGACCCCACTCCACCCCTTCCCCCGCCCACCCCAGTTGCCAAGCTGGAGCCACAGCCACCACCCCGAGCAGGCCCTGTCCCCACCACCACTGCCTTGAGAAGTCTCCAGCCTGCTCTTGTCTGGCTCCCGCCGACAGGGCTCAACAAGGCCCAAGCACCTGGCATAGCCCCCTGCACCTGCCACCCTACCCTGACTGCCGGCACAGCCTGAGGGCCTGGAGCCTGCCCCTCCCCAGCCGCTGCCCAGCCCGCCAGGACCTGCGTCCAGCCCCTTGGTGCTTCCAGCCCCTTCTGCACCCCTGGTGTTGCCAGGAAGAGCTTCAAAAAGGACGCCTGTGACAACGTCCCCTCCCACTGCGGGAACTGCACACTGCGCCCAGCCCACCCGCACTCACCTGCTTCCCCTCCCCTGGGGCTGGGTTCCCCTCGGGGGATAACATCTCCAGCAGGAAGGGACTTGGGGGAGCAGCCAGGACAAGAGCCTCCACCCATCACTGAGACACCAGGACAGAGAACGATGGGGTGTCTGTCCGTGGGCAAGCTGGGGACTGCCACAGGCCAGCTGAGTGGGACAGCAGGACTGTCCCGCCTTCTGCAGAAGCGTGTGGCAGTACTGGCCACATTCCAGAGGGCTGGAGGCACAGGCAGGCCTGGGGGCAGGATGCAGGCTCCGCACACCGGAGAGGCCTGCAGCCCCTGGGGGCAGAGGCAGCGCTTGGGGCCTGTGGTGGAAGCCCTGCCCGGCCAGACCGGCCGCTCAAGGGAACCAGGCAGCACAGGAGAGCTGTGTCTGTGGAGGGGTCCCCGCGGCAGCCCCAGAGCCTCAAGAATGGAGGCTGTAGGCAGGGCTTGTCCCCCAAGATCCATGCTAAAGCCCAAACACGAAGACCTCAGGACATGACTCCTCGAAACAGGGTCTTTACACAGGTGACCAAGGTGAAATGGGGTCACTGGGGTGGCCCCTGACCCACCACAACCGGCGTCTCCATGGGATGCAATCGGGACAGACACGCAAAGGGACAGTAGGGCAGGACCCAGGGAGAAGGCGGCATCTATGAGCCAAGGACAGACGCCTTGGCGGGAGCCAAGCTGCCCACACCCGGACCGCAGACTCCGGTCTCCAGGATCGAGGTCCTGTTTCCGCAACCCCAGCAGACTCAGGTACCCTGGGGTCCAGCCGGGTGGGGATGGTGAGGATGGGGCGGTGTGCTGTCTGCTGGCCACCATCAGCAGAGTTGGGGAGCCCAGACTG